ATCTTAAATGTGTCCTTCTTAGCAAAACAAAGTTTAAAAAACTTTACTGTAAGTGATACAAATTTCTAACTCACGTCCCACCATGTCGTCTATTTCCAGGAGAAGCAGAAAAATAAACAGTTTCATGGTGACCTCTCGATAATCTAACAGCTAATATCTTATTATCTATGTGGGTCTGCATGGAGACCCACAGCTGAGGTCAAAGCTGCATGATCGAGCCAATGAAAACCATCCTCAGTGACAACGTCACTAATATCTGGGTTAAAACGACTCACTGATGTTATCAGCAGAACTGAAAGTAAAGTCTGCGAAATGTGATGAAATAAGGAGGCGGGGAGAGAGGCCGGGTGTTTCTGCCTTTGCTTCCACACAGAAGTATGTTTAGTTTATGAGTCATGCTGCTCAGACTTTTTGTAGGTTAAAGTTTCTATTGTTTCTATTGTCTGTGTTGTTCGGCTCCCTTTAGAGTGAAAACATTCCCAAATAAAATGTCACCAGAGGACAAACACAGTGTTTTATTGACACTACAAGAACTAAAACCGTGGTGAAGTGCTCCTCTCAGTGGTTCAAAAGGAAAACAGGTTATACATATACACTGACCGGACACTTTATTAGGTACACCTGTTAAACAGCTCATTAACACACATTTCTAATCAGCCAATCACAAAGCAGCAATCTGATGCATTCAGTTGTGTAGACACGGTTGAAACGTCCTGCTGAAGTTCAAACATGGCATCCAGCTCCTTCCACTTATCTGGGTTCAGATCACGGGGGCAGCAGCCTGAGCAGAGAAGCCCACACTTTTCTCATCCCCCAAAAAACTGTGCATTCATTCTGTGCTGGTTAATTTCCAGATAACATTTCATTAGCAAAATCTGTTTCGTTATTCTATTTGCAGTTTAATTTTCTCTTTCACAACACAGCTTAGTGTAGTTATTTTTGCTTTGAGTGTGTAAAGTTTATGAAGACTAACATAATTACAGTAGTAGGTTAATGCCACTGTTGTTTCACATAAAGAGCAAAAAAAGTAAATAAGAGGTATAGTTGGTCCAACAAGCCCCTAAATCAAAATTATGGGGGCAAGACTTCATGTAGTAGACTGGGGGGGTTCTAGGTTCAGACTTTTAGGGGAGCTCAGCCCCCAATCATAACGCCTCGCATTATGATTGGGGGCTGAGCATTTTAACACCTTGTCGTTAATATTAAGAGAAAATGCTACTTGCAAATGTCATCAA